AAGAAACTTTGGATAATGTAAGTAGCGTTACTACAGCAAAAAAATGTCAAGATAATAACAAAATTTTATATGATTCACCTGATGAGATTGAGAAGGGCACAAAAGATGTAAGTAGTGCAGATGTAACTCAATCTAAAGTATCACCTAAGAAAAAGTTGAGAGAAAGTTTTAATAATAGACTACCAGTAAAATTACCAAAGAATGTAAATTATTTAACATATAAAAATCCTTCTCTCAAGGATATTGATGCAAACAATAAATCATTAAATGAGTCTTCAGAAGTAAGTGGACTGGGTAGCTTAGATACCTCGTTAGTCAATATTAATTTAAAATCAGTGGAAGAAGCTCTAAAAAATAAATGTCATGAGGTATTACCATGTAGCACAGATGGCTGCAAGAAAAATGCATGCTTTTATTGTATTAAAAAGGCTATTGAAGATGAGAATAATAATATGACTATTTTATTTACAAAATTACCTGAGCATTATGACAAAAAACATCCTGAAGAAAGATTAGTTGTAAAACTCAAAAGATTACAAAATCAGAAGTTAAAATTAATTGAGAAAGGCAGTAATCATAAAGGTAAAAAAGTGCAGAACATTTTGACGAAACGAAAAAAAATCTTAGCTGTACTTAGGATTAAGGCGAACCATTTGAACAATTTACGTGCTAGAAGTGCTCAAGAATATGTTGTCCGTAGGCGACCAAAACAAAGTGGTAAAACTATTTCATCGTACTTACCTTGTTTTCACTGTACACAAGTTTTCTCTGAGAGCTCCTTGCGCAAACATGTCAAGTGCTGTTCAAAACTCTCATTCAAGAAGAAACACGTCGTAAAGTCAAGAGGAAGAGCGACTAACGGAGATTATCATGAGTCAGCATCAGAAGATTCTATAAAAATTATATCCAAAATGAGAGAAACAGAAGCTGTTAAAGAAATAAAGTTTGATAAGACGGTTTTTATGTGGCTGAATGCAGAAGCTACCAGATTTGAAACTCAAAAACATAATTATAAAAAAGTAAAAGCAAGTTTGAGTAGATTGGGCACACTTTTAAAGTTGATAAAGGAAATTAATCCAAATATTTCAGAGTTATGCGACGTATTCAATGAAAAATATTATGATGATTTTATCAAGTCAGTGCGAATCATGGGAAAACCAGATCCAGATAGTAACTTTATGCAATCACCAGCAACGGCTAATGATATGTTTAATTTAATAAAACATGTGTACGAGATTTATGAAGTTAAAATTGGCCCTGAAGAAGAAGATAAAAGAAAATTGGTTCAAAGATTTGATATTGTTTTGAGAAAAATGTGGCATTATAGTATAGGCAAAACAATAGCTGAAACACAGGGTAGAAGAGACAGAAATAAAGTCAATGAATTGCCTAGTGACGCTGATACCATTTTGCTAAATAAACATTTACTGGAAGTGATAGTTGGCTCACATGAAAAATTAGATGAAAAGTATTCCGATGAACAATATGAGAGATTTCGTGATGCACTTTTAAGCTATTTGCAATCAGTAAATGCAAGAAGACCTGGTGAAGTAGAAAGACTTGAAAAGGAAGATTATGAACATTTGAAAATTCAGGGTCAGGAGTGTCTCATAATTCCACGTGGCAAACGTAACAGAGGTGTACCAATAGTTTTTGATTTGGATATAAAATTTTATTTAGATTATTTATTATCACTCAGGCCAAAAGCTTTAATTTTTGAAAACAATCCTTTCATTTTTGCTACCATACACGATGTGTCAGCAGATGAATTTGGATTTGTTTCTGCCTGTAATGTACTAAAAAAGTTTGCTACTAGTTCTAAAGCAGAGAAACCAGAAACATTAAAAGGTACACGCATCCGAATGAAAGTTGCTACTGTAGGAATGCAAAAAGGTCTCAAAGAGCCTGAAGTTCAAAATTTAGCCAGTTACATGGGGCATACACCAGGAATACACAAGCAAAATTATAGGCAAAGTGTTGTTGAGGTAAATTTTCAAGTTGCAAAACAAGTATGAGAAGCTCAAGGGATATCAAATGGTTTTGATAGCACTGAAGAACCTGAAAGCTCTTTAATTAATGATCAATCATTCAATGATGAACAGCAATCAAGTGAAACCAACTATAATCCTATAACATCAGTTTCTGAATTCAAACAACAAACTGCCTATTCAAAAATTAATACCCCATCAATTAAAACTTTAAAATCAAAAAGAACCATCAGCTCAAATATTCAGATGACTTCAGGTACTAAATATTTACATATCTTTTTTTAATTCTCCTCAGTATATAGTATACAATCCTATTACTTTTTTGTTACAGCCTCAACATCCAAAAAATATCGTCCACTCAGAATGGAATGGAAAAAGCCAGCTATAAAAGCAGTATTAGAGCACTTTCCTAATGCACTAAACTTGCAATACAAAGTCCCTTCAGCTGTAGAAATTAATCATTTCTTAGAGATTACAGAAGATCCTGACCTTCAATTAAGAACCGAAGGCCAAGTACGTTCATGGATGCATACTCAGCGAAATCTAAAAAAAGGAGAAGCTGATGTACCTGAAAGAAATCATATTCCAGGCTACATTTACAGTTATTTCAAACAGTATATTGATGCTGGCAAAACTCCATCACATAAAAGATGCATTAAATTTTTAGCTGATTCACCATCAAAGTCTAATGTAACAATAAGCAATATCCAAACTTGGGTCGACTTGGCTATTAAAAAGAAGGGATCTAAAAAAGTTTCTGACAAAAATTGAATCATTTCTATATAGGCATAAGTATCAACGTGAAATTTAAGTATTATCTCTCTTTCATTTCAAATAGATTGTTCTCCTAGCAGGCATATAAAATAAGATTTTATTGCAATAACTAGTGCAGTATATACCTAATAGGTATTAACTTATTGCTTGTTTTCATTAATATATTTCTAGCTGTTTTAAAGCTTTAAAACATTCAATGATCAAAATTATTAGATTTAGGCGTTACATGTCAGTTTAACATTAATAATGTTTTATCATGGCTCTTCCAAATTACAATTGTAATTGTTATACTCTTAGTAATTATATATTAAAAATATATTCAATGTTATTAAGAAAACCTATTTTGAAGAAAAGTTAATAATATAAAATAAAGTAATAAAAATTTTATTATCTTAGCATATTGATAAAAATTTACTATAAATTTTGAGCACTGAGAACAGAGATTCAAAAAACTTATTTTATAAGTTATCATAATGCATATAATGCTAATGTGTTTCACAAGACAGCCTATATGTCAAATTATTTTTTTTTAATTTCTGAATAAATAAAGAATTTAAAAACTTGCTGTTCTATTTTTAATTTTATATTACATAATAATTTATATTGTATTCAAAATCATAGTCAAATAATTAAAATGTACATTACGTAAGCTCAAAAGTTAGTGAAATTATTTTAATTTATAGAAATATAAACTCATTCAATTTTTAATGTTTAGCAAAAATTGTCACATATCACAAATAAGTATTTCATTATTTTGTTTATAGAATCTACAGGATAAAAATGAATTACGTAACTTTTATTTAATCTCAATCAGATGGAATTGATGGATGTCTTTAATTCCAATCATCACACGATTGGCCTTTATTTTATTTATATTGGTAATATTCAAAATAAATGTTAACACTTATATATTTTTAATATTAGATTAAATTTTATAGAAATCATATCTTTTTGCTGAATATTTTTTTTAAATGTAACATGTTGCTATTTATCACATTATATATCAATAACTTTTTACTATTTTTATAATTTCTACAGTCAAGGAATTTTTTCGAAAATAGAACCATTAAGAAATAATATGTAAACAATTTACTTTTTATTCATAATTATTGATTTGGTCTAAATATATAACTATAAAACATTTTTTAAATATTAAAATATTGCAACAAACATTTTAAATTATGGTGTTGATATATATTAAAATCATAAACTAAATGAAGAGAAAATAAAAATAGAGTAATCGGTATTCATATTACAAATTCTTTAGTAATTCTTTATATACTTTCAAGCTTATGACATCTCAAAATCTCAAATACCTTCAAATGCCCAATACTAAATTAAGTTAAAAATAATTCGTTCATGACAAAATTCTTTAAAAAATATACAAAAAATTTTGAATTTCAGGTATGATTTATTTATTTTAAAGTTGCTGCGTAATAAGATTTTTCAAAAAACTTTTTATATATGTTAAATACTTCTATTTGGAAGTAACCCTGGATTTCTTATCATCACATCACATCATCTTGATCATTTTATTTGATGGTAAATGTATTTCGTCATTTGCACCCAAAGGTAAACATTCCATCAAGTCTTTTTTCATCATAGCATCAAACTGAAACAAGTCGATTAATTTACAAGAAGAACACAATTTGAAAGCAATTTATTTTTTTAACAATGAACATGTAACGAGCAAATCTCGAAGAATTTTTTAAATATCGTACTTACCGATTTTTTGTATAAATATACTGGAGTCTCAGAGGTTCTTATATATATTTGCCTAAGAACCGTGGGATTGAGACATTGAGTCAAGCTATGTGTAGCTGGAATGCGGACAATTGGAATAGATATTCATGTCAGAGTCAGATGCTGTTTGAATCTTAAAATATCAACTTTGCTACTTTTGCTTTCGTAAACAAATAATAAATAATGTAAATTTGAATTTTTTATTCTGGCTTGTACTGAAGTAGTTATTGGGTTAGAATCTGAGAGGCGCCTGATATACTTAAACATTCTTGAGAAACATTTGTAGAATTAAGCGTATCAAACTTTTTTTTATATAAATATAATCAAACGAAGTAAGTTGTGTTATTTTTGCTTGTAATCAATGAAAAGTACAACTTTTTATTGATAGTAGATCAAGTAGATCAATTGTGAACTTATATTACATATGATGATTTTAAATAACAAATAAGAGTCTCACATTTTGCACCATATAGGTAGAATTGACGTATCTAAAAAATGTTTGAATTACAACTGGAAAGTGAGAAGCATAAAAAAATTGGTATGAGCAGCTGGGCATTGATGCAAGTAGATGATTTGATGAAGTATACTATCTTAGATTCATATACAGGATTTGTAACTCGCAAAATACATCCTATCAGTTCGTTTACTGACGAAAACAAAAAGGCTGCAGAGAAAATTATTTTAAAAAGAATGGTGATTAATGACAAAGAAATTGGAAAAGTAGAAGAAGCATTGAAAACTTTATTTCAGCAGCATAAATTATATTATCATTTTAGCATCAAATATTCTACCTGGGTTAATGAACCCATGAGATTTTATTTAAGAACAATATCTTCTGATTCTCTAGTAAATATTCAAGAATGTAGGCGTTATGAAAATGAAAAAAATGGTCTCAAAATCATTGCCAAAACAGATATTGATAAGAATGTTGAAATAAGATGTTTAGCAGGAATTTATAAAACTATGGATACGAAAAGAGAAGATTTGTTAAGAGAACGAAAACTTAACTTTTCAATTATTCAAAGGACAAGAAATAATGATCCAGTACTGATGTTAGGAACTGCAGCACTAGTAAATCATGATTGTTATCCCAATTGTATATATTTCACAGTTTCGAAACATCTTTTGATTATCTTAACTACTAGGAAAATAAAAAAAGATGAAGAGTTAGTCACATATTATGGTCAAAATTACTTTGGACCCAATAACAAAGAATGTCAATGTGCTACATGTGAAATGAATGATAATGGTTTTTTTTCTGGAGGTAAATATTCTCTTATAATTATTAGATAGATTGTATCAGTGAAAAAATTACCTAAGGTCTGAATGCATACAATTTGTTTCAATGTTTATAAAATCACTCTAGGCAAAAACAGAGAATTAAACATTGTCCAAAATAATGAATATGTAATTAATAATAAATTGCATAAAATTAACGTAAGAGAAGTTAATTTTGTTTCTAACAAGATGGATTTCCAATAAAAAATTGCCAGCATACCTTCTAGCGTGCACCAAAGTAAGTATATTTTCATGATATTTTTCTTTTTTTTTTACTTAGGTATTAGAACTACACTGAAGCACAACTAATTTCCAAATGTATTACAGGTAGTAGTGGTTGCAATCTACATGAAAGCCAAAGTATTGTTCAACAAATTGATGAAAACAATGTAGAACAATTTAAGAATGAGCTCGTTATTAAAGACTGCACCATTCAACAAATTGATCCTAAGCATATTCATATGCCTGATGAAATTTCAAGCTTTTATTCAAACAGTAAACTAGAGAGTAAATCTAGTTTCAATAAGGAATCTGTTGAAAGCTCTCCTAAAAGTTATTCTGCTTTAGATATGAAATCTGATAGTAAGCTTAAAGAGGCTTGTGTGAAAATAATGAGACTTGACACACTAGTTGTCAATTATTACAGTGTCAAGAAGAAGGATGTCTATACGTTTTGTTTATTTTGTAACAATTTTACATATAAATTCATAAAGCACTTAATCAAAGTTCATGCTGATAAAGATATAATTAGTAGATATATTGCCAATAATAGTAATTTAAAAACATGTGCAATTAGTTTTATACGTAATCAGGGCCTAGCACATTTTAAAATACTAACGAAAATTGAGATTCCAGCTGTAAAAGTTAGAGTAGATGCAACCCAAGAAGTTTTAAAAATTCAGTGTGATAATTGTTTCTCCATGTTTTCTAGTGACACTATGTGGCACCATCGGCGATTTTGTTTGCAATTCACTGTATCAAAAATGCTGAAAAAATTGTAAATATTTAATATTTACAATTTTAAATATATATATAAACATATATTCAGTAAAAAAGAAATTAAAGCCTATTATAAAACTGATATTTTAAAATTATATATCTATGTAATTATTAATTATGAAAATGTACTCAGCCTTTAACTTAGCGGTATGAATTTTTTAATGTAAAGAAAGACATTTATATGTACAATTATTGTTTTATTAGGCTTTAAAATATCGATTAAAAATTGATAATAAATATTTAATACCTGATTAATAATAAAATATTTTTGTCATGTGCTGATATTTAGTAAAAATTGAAAATATATTGTATAAGATCAATAGCAGTTTTTTAAATAATTATAATTTGGTAAAACTTAAAGCTTTGCTAGTTATCCTTTAATCAAGAAAATATTCAGTCCTTTGACCGTAATTTGTATACAAGTACAATTTTGAATCGTAATAAGGACAATGAATAAAAATCATATTGCAAATTAAAAATTTGTTTATCTCACTGAAAAATATTTGCAATAATTTATCTTCCATTTAAATTTTGACTGTATTCATATTCAGTTGTACTCCATCCATCACATATTGAACGGAATTTATTTAAAAATATCTTCGTCTGGATTACTCGTTCTTCAACACATATTACTGAATAGAATCCAGCCAGATTTTAAAGACTACAAAGTGCTTGAAACCAAAGCTTTTAATCTAAAACTTCTTTATTATATTTATAATTTCCAAAGACTTCCAATCATAAAATAATTGTCATCAACACTCAAGATGTTTTGCCATGCATAAGTTTGAAGGGAGGCGTAGTTCAGAAGAAATTTTACGGATCGTGCTGGAACGACAATAAGACTTTGAGTAGACGAAAGCTCCGTACTCCATTAGTAAATTGTTTTTCTTAATGAAAAATAAAGCTTCAATTTTCCACAATCTGTTCCAAACTTCTTCAAGAAACATATTTTTAATTATAACTGACTCGTTGAAACTAAATTTTATTAGCCAAAACGCTTTTCAAAATATTCTTTCAATTCTGTTATTTGTTAAACAGTATAATAACACGAACATCGGCGGAACATGAGCATTTAATTCGATGAACGTACAATTAACAGGAGCGGTTTGTAATAGGTCGTTATATCGACCATGAAAAACCGTGCGACCGTTCCCTAAATCCGATCCCAAATACGATTCGATTCAATTCAATAGTATTTTTATTGGCATAAACTTTTTACAGCCACAACACTATTACATTGGCTCCGCTGAGGGCGTGTTGAAATACAAGTCTTTAAATATAATATTATATAAAAAATTTACATCTTATTCGCTATGTGCGGCCGGATGGAGGGGATAGGCGAAACTAGCAAAGCGCGCGCAGTGGCGAACTGAGGCATTTTTTTGGACGTTATTACATGCAGTCTTACGGAGGCTTGACTGAATATTAATTATTTAGTGTATCTAAACAATGAATATGGTAATAAAATTTCTGATGTGTCATTATAATCCGGTTAATGCAGACTGTTAGAGTTGTACTTGTAGGCATGCGCGCCAACTATGCGAGAACGTCAATAGGTATAACTAATTATTACATTGGTAGCCAAGGTACATGTAACAGGATCAGACCGATTTAATATCATAATGGAGCCACGATCATCTATCACACAGATGTTGCGGACACGCCTGCCCTATTTGATCAAGCTAAGATTATTATGAGAAAGTAATGAACACCAAAACCATGTGTTCCATGTAATTCCCTCATGTCCTTATAATGCGGTTCACGCAGTATAGTAACTAGTAGTACTGGAAAACTTGCTTGCTAGATGCTGCGACAGCGTCGCAATATGAAGAGAAACAATTTACAGTGCCACGGTCACGCGACGGCCCTCAATATCACGTCAGAGTAATATAGCCCGCTGGCACGACTCTTGTAGAATTTCGCAATACGCTTGCGATCCCAAATGCCTCCTATTTCTGGCGTGTCCTTATAATCCGGTTCATGCTGAGTATTAGAGTTGTACTTCTAGGCATGCGCCCCGACTTTGTAAGACTGGCGCAATGTATAATTAATTAATACCATGGTAGGCGGAGGTTATTCTGAAGGCTCGGACGAATTGATTATCATATTACAGCCAAGATCAACTTACACTCACATCTTATGGACACGTCTGTCCTATTTTAACAAGCTAATATTATTATGAGAAAGTAATGTACCCGAAAACCATGAGTTCTATGTAATTCCCTTATGTCCTTATAATCCGGTTCATAGTAAGTAGTAGTACTGACAAGCTTGCTAGCTAGATGCTGCGACAGCGTCGCAAGATGAAGAGAAGCAATTTACAGTGCCAATTTACAGTCCTTATAATCCGGTTCATGCTGAGTATTAGAGTTGTACATCTAGGCATGCGCGCCGACTCTGTAAGACTGCCGCAAGGTATAAATAATTAATACCATGGTAGCCGGAGGTTATTCTGCAGGCTCGGTCGAATTGATTATCACAATATAGCCATGAGAATCTTCCACAGAGATGTGCGGACACACCTGCCCTATATAATCAAGCTAAAATTATTATGAGAAAGTAATGTATCTGAAAACCATGAGTACCATGTAATTCCCTTATATCCTTATAATCCGGTTCCCGCAGTATAGTAACTAGTAGTACTGGCAAGCTTGCTAGCTAGATGCTGCGACAGCGTCGCAAGATGAAGAGAAGCAATTTACAGTGCCACGGTCACGCGACGGTCCACAATATCATTTCAGAGAAATGTATCCCACTGGCACGACTCTTGTAGAGATTCGCAATACGGCTTGGGACCCCAAATGAATCCTATTTCTGGCGTGTCCTTATAATCCGGTTCATGCTGAGTATTAGAGTTGTACTTCTAGGCATACGCCCCGACTTTGTAAGACTGGCGCAAGGTATAATTAATTAATACCATGGTAGGCGGCGGTTATTCTGAAGGCTCGGACGAATTGATAATCATATTACAGCCAAGATCAACTTACACACACATCTTATGGACACGACTGTTCTATTTTAACAAGTTAAGATTATTATGAGATAGTAATGTACCCGAATACCATGAGTACCATGTTATTCCCTTATGTCCTTATAATCCGGTTCACGCAGGATAGAAACTAGTATTACTGACGAGCATGCTTTGCTAGATGCTGCGACAGCGTCGCAAGATCAAGAGAAGCAATTTACAGTGCCACGGTCCCGTGACGGTCCTCAATATCATTTCAGAGGATTGTATCCCTCTGGAACGACTCTTGTAGAAATTCGAAATACGGCTTGAGACCCCAAATGCCTCCTATTTCTGGCTTGTCCTTACAATCCGGTTCAAGCCGGATATAAGAATTGTACTTCTAGGCAAGTGCCACGATTACGCGAAAACACCACTAGGTACAATTAATTAATACATTGGTATCCAGGGGATATGCTGCCGTTTCGGACCGATTCAATATCACAATATAGCCACGTTCATCTTACACACACATCTTATGGAGTCGTCTGCCCTATTTTAAAAAGCTAATATTATCATGAGAAAGTAATGTACCCGAAAACCATGAGTTCCAATTCCCTTATGTCCTTATAATCCGGTTCATGCTGAGTATTAGAGTTGTACATCTAGGCATGCGCGCCGAATTTGTAAGACTGCCGCAGGGTATAAATAATTAATACCATGGTAGCCGGAGGTTATTCTGCAGGCTCGGTCGACTTGATTATCACATTCCAGCCACGATCATCTAACCGATCAGCTCGGACGATTTGATTATCACAATATAGCCATGTTCATTTTTCACAGAGATGTTGCGGATACACCTGCCCTATTTAATCAAGCTAAAATTATTATGAGAAAATAATGTACCTGAAAACCATGAGTACCATGTAATTCTCTTATATCCTTATAATTCGGTTCACGCAGTATAGTAACTAGTAGAACTGGCAAGCTTGCTTGCTAGATGCTGCGACAGCGTCGCAAGATCAAGAGAAGCAATTTACAGTGCCACGCTCACGCGACGGCCCTCAATATCATTTCAGAGCAATGTATACCTCTGGCACGACTCACGTAGAGATTCGCAATACGGCTTGAGACCACAAATGCCCTCCATATCTGGCGTGTCCTTATAATCCGGTTGATGTCGAGTATTAGAGTTGTACTTCTAGGCAACCGCCACGATTACGCGAGAACGCCACTAGGTACAATTAATTAATACATTGGTATGCTGCCGTTTCGGACCGATTCAATATCACAATACAGCCACGTTCATCTTACACACACATCTTATGGACTCGTCTGCCCTATTTTAAAAAGCTAAGATTATCATGAGAAAGTAATGTACCCGAAAACCATGAGTTCTATGTAATTCCCTTATGTCCTTATAATCCGGTTCATAGTAAGTAGTAGTACTGGCAAGCTTGCTAGCTAGATGCTGCGACAGCGTCGCAAGATGAAGAGAAGCAATTTACAGTGCCAATTTACAGTCCTTATAATCCGGTTCATGCTGAGTATTAGAGTTGTACATCTAGGCATGCGCGCCGACTCTGTAAGACTGCCGCAAGGTATAAATAATTAATACCATGGTAGCCGGAGGTTATTCTGCAGGCTCGGTCGAATTGATTATCACATTCCAGCCACGATCATCTAACCGAAAGCTTGGACGAATTGATTATCACAATATAGCCATGTTCATCTTTCACAGAGATGTTGCGGATACACCTGCCTTATTTAATCAAGCTAAAATTATTATGAGAAAGTAATGTACCTGAAAACCATGAGTACCATGTAGTTCCCTTATATCCTTATAATTCGGTTCACGCAGTATAGTAACTAGTAGAACTGGCAAGCTTGCTTGCTAGATGCTGCGACAGCGTCGCAAGATCAAGAGAAGCAATTTACAGTGCCACGCTCACGCGACGGCCCTCAATATCATTTCAGAGCAATGTATACCTCTGGCACGACTCACGTAGAGATTCGCAATACGGCTTGAGACCACAAATGCCCT